AGTTAGGAGCCAAGCAATTTATGATTAAGATTTTTGTAGGATATATACTCCGTAATTTTAAGTCTTTCTTGTCTGTTTGTCCTCCTTCATTTTAAGCCTTCCCTTCTTTTAAAAAAAAAATGCAGTTTTAGCTCTGGCATCCTGGCATACATTAATGTTTTTCTCTGTACAGGTAGATTGTAAGTTTCATTTAAATCAGAATCTCTGAAATAGATTTAATTCATTATGATTCACTGTGGATTCTTTTTGATGAAAAATGAGGAATAGTTAAACCTAAGGTCAGTTAGAAATAAATAAGTGCCTGACTGTGCATTTTTATTTGTGATGTTCAGAAATATAAGAGAAAGTTACATCATTTCTCACCAGGTTCAACCCACAATTTATTTCTCAAGTACTTTCCCCGCCAAAAAAATGTTTTCAGGAAGATAACCCAATCTATAATGTTAAGCTTATAAAACATATTATGAAGATACCCTGCAGAATAAATGCATATGAAGATAGCACTATGGTATGGCACATAGTATGAAACAGAAATGTTTTCAAGTTAACCTTGAAGGTGTTGAGAAACTCTTAGAACAAGTATCAGACAGCAGGATAAGTAAAAGATGCTTCCCTGTCTGGCATTTGTAATAGGCTAAAAAGATGACTAGCTGATTATCTGACTCAGAATATAATGCCCACATAGGAATACAAAGAATAAGAAATTCAGCACATGTCTCCCATCAAGGTTGGTAAAAATCTCATAGGTACATCACGTCAAGTGCCCTAAATCATCAGCTTTGAGGATGACTTATTTCATAGTTATAGTCTGCAATTCCATCCATGCGTAGGGGATTGACAGCTGTTCCACCCATTAGTATTAATGAATTACCAACGTACATCCCACACACATCCACCAAGGAGCTAAAGACATCCCTCCTACACACTACCTTGTTTTGAATTCTCCAAATGTTGTAGGATGGCTATTTCCTTAATAAGGGTAAATCATGAAATAAAGCACATGTTTTACTCCCATGGTTAAACCTGATGCCTTATGGTAATTACCAAGGGATTGTGACTTTATTCATTTATTAAAATAGATTAAATTATCTCTCACCTCTCCACCATCTAAGGAGTGTGTATGACTATTTAAAAAAAATTTATCGGTACTGGGGATTGAACTCATGACCATGTGCTTGTAAGGCAAGCGCTCATGCTTCTGAGCTAAATCCCCAGCCCCAGGAATGTGTATGACTATTAAGGACATGTAACTATTACTAGGACATTTCACTTAAAAGAAGAGCAGTTCAGAATGACCATAGCAATGGTGAATTTTTTCCCCTCTTGAAAGACTTCCAATAGTGCCTTTGAAATGAGGTAAAAATAAAACAAAATGACTACCACATGTACTAGTGTTATGGTTTGTATGTGGGTGTCCCCCTAAAGCCTCAAGCAGTCAGTCACGAAGGTGGCTGAATCTAGCATTTGTTACTGATTTGTTGTCCACCACTGGGATTGACGGTGTGAGAGCTGCACCTGCCCAGGAGCAGGTAGCCAGCATACGACATAAGGCAGGGAAGGAGGTGTACTTTCTCCTCTTTTTTCCCCCCCTTTTCACTCTTGTCACTGTGGCCACTACGAATGGCTGCCCCTCAGGGGCATTCCACCCTGCCTTCAAACCAGCTCAGTATGGACTGAGAACTCCAAAAGCTGTAAGCTAATTAAAGCTTTCCTTCTCTAGTTTTGAGGGTTGGGTATTTTGTCCCAACAGTGAGAGAAAAGTAACCAAGACAACTAGAAATCATCAGTTGAGATCCACTACAGTCTCAGTTTATACCTTTTATCCTGGCATAATTACTAATTACTACTCATTTAATTCTTAAAAGGTCCTGGTTTGGATTGAGAATTATGTTAATCCAGTTGGGGAGTGTATTTCTTATATGACCATGTCCCCTTCCTCAACCATCTAAGACAATTTTAGCCTTTCCTTTTTGTGAACTACTACTACTACTGTTGTAGACAGGGATTGCAAAGAGAACAGTTACATTCAGGACAGAATTTATAGTAGTATTCTATGATGGTTTCCCAGAGTTAAATACAAGAAAGTTCAAGAAATCTGTCTATAACACTAATGACCTAGAAAATCCTGCTGAGGACCTGGATCTCACAGCAATATCTTGCCTGAGTCCAGCTGAAAACCTAGAGCCCATGACAATGCCTCCAAGTCCAACTGTAAGTCTAGAGCTCACAGCAATAACCAATGCAAGTCTGTTTATGGATCTGCACTGGGAAGGCCCAGAGGTCAGAGGTGGAAGCTAGAAAGTCTGTGCCAGCAGATTGATTGGTCTGTGCCAGTAGGCTGAGGGTTCTGCCCTGAAGAAATGATTCTTTTATGAAGGACCAGGGCTGCCCTGAGAAGCACCAAGGCATCCTCAGCGACAATGAGGTCCCAAGCTCCTCTGACAATGAGAACAGTTGAGTACATGTTAGGAATCCAGCATGACAAGCTTCTCCTGGAGAGCACACAGCACATGTCCTTCCATCCAGAGCCAGGAAGTGATGTCAATGTAAGGAGCAGAGCTCCCCTAAAGTGAACCACAGCCACTCTTAATGACAAGGGCCTGAGCTCCTCCGAGGATAATGGCCAAATTCATATTGAGGAGCATGAGCTCCTCCGTGAGAGCCAATGGCTACAGTGATACTTAGGAGAACTACAATGCCTTGCTATTCCTTTCCATGTCTTCTTTTATGCTGGCAATTTTCCTCAGGTGGACCATCTACACTCAGCACCATACTGATTTAATTCAGCTGGTGTTAAATTGACCACCAGTGTTTAATCCATAAAAACTACCAAGGAAAAAAGAAAGAACAGCCAGTCTATACCTGTTTGTAAATTATGAAATTCTTTACAGTGTTCCCTACTCTCCATTCTCTGTGTTCTCATCCCTCTTCTCTCTGTTCGGTGACATTGCACTCCCAGCACACACTCCTTATTTAAAATGACAGAGAAGGGTCAAGGAATGTCTGCATATACACTAATATTTCTATATAGAAACAGGCAGCAGAATGCTTTTTCATGGTTGACTGTGTAAAAATGAAGTGTGATGTGCATTCTTTTTCTTTTCAGTGAAGAAGTGTTATATTACTTGGTGACAGGGGATTATCAGCTTGAGAAATACCTCAATTCACACATACGTTAAGTGTCTGTGATGTGTCCTACTCTGGGTTATACAAAAATGATATGTTGTCCTTAATCGCAAAGAACTCAGTGTCTTAGTAGGGAGAACCATGTAGAACAGTAAAGGTGCATTCTATTCACAGCGTGTCTTCCTGCAGTACCACTGCCTTATACAGCACTAAGAGGATATGAAGGTGCACGGGGAGGACGGGCAGAAAATTCAGTGTGGAACCGCAGCTTGGGAAGGATTGCTAGAAGAGATGGTGTAGATGAAGTTGATTAGTGTGTAGGTGAACTGAGTTTGGGAGGAAGAAAAAGTGAAATTATTGCTTTAAGAAAGTAAATGGTATTACATTGGCCATCAAGCACAAAGTATCATTCCTGCTCCTGAACTCTACATTCTGCAAAATGGCCTTCTGTTGTTCTGCTGATAAAGAATAGGAGTTGATAGTTCACATTCTTGTAAGAGCCATGATTTTCCAATTTGTTGATAGACCTTCAACTATCATTTGGAAAAAAATCATTATAACTCTCTGGCCTTTCCTCCACAAAATATACTTCTTTTCTGAAGTATATTCTCAAAGGTCGTATTTTTCTTTAAGAAAAAAATCATTCCTGTTATTTTCTGAGTTCAGTCACTGTAGTTCCCACCTCCCCATCCATCTACACTCAGGGAGCATTGTTGTGGCCTTGCGTAGAGGAACGGCCAGTGTACTGTCTCCAAACATCATTCCTATTTACTCATACCTCAGTGTCATGCATGCAATGAAGTACCACAGATCACTCTTTACATACAACTGCATGAACGAAACATTTCATTCCACTCTTGTAGTTGTTACTCTGTAATCACCCCTTAGTCTTATTCTTATCTCTCCTGACACTTCTTTCTGATTTCCAGCTATACTAGCATCTCAAAGTTCTGTCATCTTGTCTCTACATTTTCTTCCATGAGTGTTGTTGCTCTGATTTTCAGATTCACTATATGACTATCACCTAAGTTTCTGGTATCTGTTTTCATTGCCATGGAACCATCTCCTCACCACCCCATCCTTGACATTTCTTTCTCTGTTTAATTCTCCTGTCACTCTGCCCATGTCTAAGCACAGAGAAGTCTCACAGACTTCAGTTAAATAATTTGAGCGCTGGTTTCTTCTTTTCTACTCCCTCATATATTTTAATCTGCAAAGCCATGCTCAACTCTAAGCCATCCTGCATATTAATGCCAGTTAAATTCTTCAGAAACACACCATCAGCCATGATAAGAGTCACCTATCATAGCCGGACTGTTTCTTGCCATCTTTTAGCTGTATTTTCCACTGTCTTCCTTTATGAGTCTTATACTTGTACAGAGAAAGTACAGAGCTCTCAAGAGGGAGATGTGAGTTTGAATTCTGGTTCTGGCATTTGTCAGCTGTATGACTTTGGGCAAACACTGTACTTTCTCTATACCGCATTTACCCATCTGTAAAACAGGGATAGTAACTGGGTCTTCCATAAAGGATCATTGTATGGATTAAATGAAACCCTCAATTTCTGGCTTACAGCAGTGTTTCAGTGTTAGCCATCATTAGATGCCATTGCTATGTAGGATTGAGAAATAGAAAGGTAACAAAATTAAATGGTACACTAAAATATAAACATTATTTTATAGCTATTACCTGAAATAATTGTAAAGTTTAAAATTTAGTAAAAGCATCTCTGATTTTGCTTTCTTTCTTGAGTCAGTAAGATAATGCTTAGATAAATAAATAAGTGATTCTGAGGATCTTCGGTAACAGCAATATATAATCAGTGTTTTGAAATTATCACTTTATCCTCAACTTTGAAATTTCTTTTCTAACAGGGTAGAAATTTAGCATCAGGAGAGATTGGATTTTTCCCAAGTGATGCTGTTAAGCCTTCCCCATGTGTAAGTACTATTACTCTTTTTTTTTCTTGCTTTTTGTTTTCCTTTTGGTACTGTGATTAATTGTGCAAGAATGTACAAAAGTTACTACCAGGTCATTCATTAATTTTATTAATATTTTTAATTGGATTGTATTATTTTCAATATGGTTAAGATTCCATTGTCAGAAAATACTTGTAAATATTAAGTACATATAGGCATGTAGAAAAATTTAATAGAACTTACAAAATTGAGTTGTAAAAAAGATTTTAGAAGAATTAAGTCAAAGCTCTGGAATAGACAGATTGTTTAAGTATCCCTCTTTTCACTGAGGTAAGAGTGAGAGGGTCTAATCTATTCTAAGCACTTATGTTAGATTAATAATAATCTAATAGACTTCGTCTGATGGGAAATAATAGATTTCATCTGATGTCTTGGAAAGCATCCTAGGGTCTGAAAAGTCCACAAATTCCTCAAACATATCTTTAAATTTTCTGTTTTAGCAAGCCATTGTTTTTTATTTAATGCCACAATGAAATTTTCTGATAACATCAAACAAGTAAAAGGAAAGTGAATTAATTTTTATCCAAATAACTAGGGGAATATAATATAAAATTTACTTTCTGGTGCTTCTTGATACTGATAAATTTTTGTTGTAATGATTTTAGCATTAAAATTGGGATTGAGGGTAGTTTTTTTCCCAAAACATTTGTTTCAGTATTTTTTTTTAATTTTAAAGAGAAAACAAAATCAATAAAAATAAAAATACAGAATTTCAAAAACAAGATAATAGGAAATTGACAATAGTTAATATATTGTGTATTGTTATCTTCAAGGCATTTGCTCAGATTACAAGCTATAGGCATGCATAATTGATCAAACAATGTGAAATCATTTTTAATGAGCTAAATTAGTAGTATAATTATCTTAGCTATCTTTTGTGTGTATATATATTTTTCCTTTTCCCTTCCTTGTTTTATCCTTTACCCTTATGTTTCATTTTTAAATTTTCTAAGTCCAAAGCAAATAAAAACTTACTCATATGGGATGGAGTTGATTGCTTAAAAATCCCTCAAAACTCTCTTATCTTGCTAATTTTCAGTAGTTTCTATATTTCTAAAGTGAACATTCTTTTTTTTTTTTTTTTTCCTTTTTCTGGTACCAAGGATTGAACTCACGACTGCCTGCTTGCAAGGCAGGTGCATATGCCGCTGAGCTAAATCCCCAGCCCCATTGAACATTCTTTTAAATCTTAAAAATGTGAATATTTTCTACGTTTGATTTCAAAATGTAATCTTTCAAGATATTTTACTACCTTTAAACTTCATTATTTTCAAAAACAAAAGAAATTCCAAAAGGATTTGTCATTCAGTTGGTTTTCTGTTCTAATGTCTCATCTTTGGTCTTGAGTGATGTTATAATGTTGAAAGAAGTTGAAGTATGATTCTACTCTTATTTAATTAGACAAGTAAAAATGATTGTGTGGCTGTTTAATGTGTCATTTATGTGAATAAGATTTAGGCTTCCTATCTGTAAAGCAGTCATGTTTATGTATAGAAATGTGGAAAGAGATTATACATCTTAACATTAAGATATTTGGGAACCTAAAGGCATCCAATTAAAACTATTAAGCATTCCATATCCCGAATGTTATCTATTTATGGCCTCTTGAGTATGGCACAAAGCGAGCATTAGAAGTTTTAATTTAGAGAGATTTTCTTAAAGTAGGTACTTAAAGGTTATTGTTGAATGAATGAACAAAGGAGTGAGAAAACAAATCTCTAGCTTATATGTAGTGTTGGATACTAATAAAAGAAGCTTAATAATACTTAGTGAACCAATAAGTGCCTAGAAAGAGAGAAATTTTAAATGTTAAGCAGTTGTAGTGTAATGGGTAAAGCAATAAAATAAAGATGGTTGTTTTATAACTTAAAGTTAATAAATAACTTAAAAAGTTTACTGCTTAGCTGATGAAATTACATGTTTGTTGGTTGTAAGACAAGCTAAGCAAAGATAAGTAGAAAGAGGGAGATAAAGGAGAATTGGTAGAGAAAGTCTGAAAAATGCTATTGTTTTAACCCTGTAATATATTACTATCAGAGATCCATGAGTAGTGCTGAACATTTCATTCTGATGTTAAAAATTATTATATGCCATGGTGGTCTCAAACGTGCTGATATACACAGATAGGAACTTAGAACTGTAGAAAACACTAGAAACACAAAAATGAGGCAGTGCATTCTGGGAAAGTTCATGACTGGAGACAAGGCCTGATGCTATAGCGTAGTACAAACCTGGTTATCTGTTTGAATCTAGGAGCCCTCACAGGAGAAAAATGTCACATTAAAACATGCCACTGACTCTTGTCCTGGCTCTGGGTTGGGCAGGAAAAAAATAAAAACACATTCCCCTGAGAATTACTAAGTTAAATCCAAAAATCCATCCAAATGTCAATCTGGAATTTCTTCTAGCTTTGTGATCTAATATTGTAAGCTAGAGAGATACAGTTTTAAATTATTCTCTCTGAGTCCCAGTGAAAATAAAGGTTCTCTCTGGATTGCAGCCTCTTTACACATGGCCCTCAAGAACTTTTACAGATAAAATCTCAGCAAACAAATTCACCGTATCCAAACATTAAATTTCTAAGAAAATGGATCATTTTAAAGTAAAGTCAACAGAAATAATAAAAAAAATACTTTGGATCACTCCTGCCTCACAGGACAGCAGATTTTGAAATTACCTGTTATTAATTTAAAGTTATATATTTAATGTGGTTGAAGAAATGAAAAGGGATTAAATATCTAAGAGGAGCCCAAGACACTATTCAAACCAGCATATTTCAGATATAATAATTGAATTCAAAGTCTTAATGGTCACATTATATGCCACATCAAATACAGTAGTGAAGAAAATTAGAAGAAATGTATGAAGAAACTTCTCAGATCAGTTCAAAGAGATTAAGAAATGGAAAATGTAAAAGAGTGAATTAATAGGATTCAAATCCATTTAATAGGAGAGATTAGAGATAATTGTGCTGAAGCAATAGTCAAATGAGTAATGACTGATTTCTTTCCAAAATGTATGATAAAATTAATATTAAGAATCAAAAAGTATATTAAAATTAATCAACATCTTGACACATTTTAATGAAACTTCAAGACATTAAAGACAAAATATTAAAGCCAACCTAAGTGTAAAAGAGTGCCTATAAACAGCTGATGATCAGATACATGGGTGAAAGCAGCAGGTATGGAAACAGTAAGTTTCTACTTCTGGAAAGTGTCATTTGGATCCTGTAATACCATTCTTTCCACGTTTAACAGCCATACGCTTTGGATATAAGATAAAAATAAAACAAAAGTGTCTGTGAAAGCAATGGCTAGAAAGAGTTGCCAATTAGGAGAGGGTGTTTATTGTGAGTTTCCTGGTTTTATGGCTACTTGAAAACGTGGTAATACTAGGTTGCAGCATCCTTAATGACTGACAGTCATATAGAAACCATGCAATAATTTTGGCTCTAACAACCAGAATATGAATTCTGAAGCAAGCACAGTAACTGGAGAAAAAGACAGGAAATCTTAAGAAGGAAAGAATGAGAGAGGAGCCTCAAATTTTGTATATAAACTTTTCCTAAGCTTCTGAGAAATGGCGAAATTCTCAACTGCCCAACCTACACTTCAAGAACTAAAATGAGAATTCATCAGTCACTTAGCACAAGAGTTCACTTAGGTTAAATACCTGCTTTAAGAAAAACCTTGTTCTTGGTAATAGAACAGAATCCAGAATTTCAATTTGAGTAGGATCATTCAAGTTATTCAAGTTATTCTGGATAGAGTCTAGAATTACCCAGTATACAAGAAAATAGGAAAACATGAATCATACTTAGAAGAAAAAGCAGTTGATGGAGATTTACCTTGAAATGACCTGCATGATAGAATTAGCAGGAAAGATTTTAAAAGGCAACTTTTAGAACTATAAGGAAAGTGTGTTCATAATGAGTAACGAATAAGAAGCATTAGCAGAGAAAAAGGAACTATAAAAAAAAGAACCAAATGGACATTCTGAAACATGAAATTATAATATTTGAAAGAATATATTGAATGTTTTAAGAGAAGAAAATTGCTATGTTTAAAGTTTAGCTCTCTTAAATAATGAGACTTCTAGCAAAACAGAGAGAGACCATTTCTTAATTGTCTCACCTAACTTTATATGATGTATTCAGGAATAACATGTGAACTATATATTCAATAAGACATTTTTAAAAACATTACTTGTCTTTAGAAGCAGTTTAATGATACAAACTGTGGAGATGACAGAAAATGGCATTAGGGAAAAATAGTAATCATACTTTCAAAGATGAGATTACCCAGAAGAAAGATAGAACACTTTAGGCTGAAACAGCCTCAGTTATCTCTTTTACCGTAAAATTATATGTCACCCTTCACCTTTGGATCTCTAGCAATCAAAGGAGTCCACAGTAATAACTATGTTAAAGTCTTTCTATCTCTATCTCTGTTTGTCTGTCTCTCCATGGCATGTTAGAGGCAGGGGAAAGAAGAAAGATGATTTCTCTTTCTCATTTCAGAAACCATGTATATCTTATCAAAAGGGAAAATATTGAAGATCAATTTTTATTTGTAAAATACAATATATTGAAAATTTGCAGAATTTTAATGGGTATTTTACCTTTAATAATTGCTGTATATCATGATTTTACTAAATATTGCTATTAGAAACATAACTCAGAGGATTAAAAATATGGAAATATCAATAGCTATAGAAATATTCTGACCAGGACAGTTTTTTCCAACTATAAAAATCTGTCAGAACAAAATTATATTAATCGAAAAAGGTCACATATAGAGACATATTTATATTGACGAAATCTCTTAAATGCTGTATAACCTATATTAAAAGTAAAAAGGTAACAGAATTTTTAATCAACCAATGTACAAAAGTTCAGGAATACTGTGGAATGTATACATAAGAGACTTATGTGACTCATGAAAAATTTCTTAACACAAGAAAAAATATACTCTAACTTTTCTCAGAAATTTATAAATTATCCCCTTCTCTGTAGTACATATTTCATTATTTTATGAATACTAGTATAGCTTTTCAGGGGCTTTGTTCTTTTTCTAGTTACCATGAGCACCTAGAAGAAATTTTCTTTCATTATATGCTTAGAACATGCAACATTTCTCATGCACAAAGCTCTATTTGAGAAAAGGGAAAATGAATGTTTTTCGTGTTGTCTTCTTACAGAAAAGGTTTTCTAGGTGGGAGATTTCACAAAACAAAATTTAGAATTGTGTTGCATGACTCAGTCTACACTCAGTGTAGAGTGTTTGTTTTGCATATTTTCCCAATGTCTTGGAAAGTGAAATTCTATTTTATTTCCTTAATAACATTTTCATTTTAGTTTTTATGATAGGATTAAGTTGCCTTGATAATAAATATTGAAAGATTCTATTTTGTATTTTCCTGCAACTCTTCCTTTGGAGGTACAGTGGCAATAAATGAATGAAAGAATGAATTAAAGAGAAATGAATTATTTTCTGCTTATCTGACATGTATAATGATTCATTCTGCATAAAATTGCTAGTGGATAGTTCCAGGACTGTGCTGCTTAAGGGTTTTATAGAGCTGAGTCAGCTGAACTGAATTAATGATTGATTTCTAAAAGCTTCCCTAAGTAAACTTAATCTGTTTTTGCCTTTTAATATTTTAGGTGCCCAAACCAGTAGATTATTCTTGCCAACCCTGGTAAGTATTAAAAATGTTTGTGTAGTGAAGTTGAAATACCATACCCTTAGCTCGAGGATGCCTTAGTAGTAAACCATGTTCCATTTTCCATTTTGTCCTGGCTAAAGGTATTTTCAGATGTAACAAAACACCATAATGAATCCATATATTGCTGACCTTTCTGTATCTTTGTCAGAGAGAAGTGTGTGGGTGTGTATTTGTGCCTAGGAATGCACTTGATTATAAACTGAAGGTTTATAGAACAGCCACAAAAAGAAATGGAACATAGGAAAATATGTATCATTTAGACAGAAAGAAAATTCATTAAGCAGAAAAACACAATAATAAATGATTCAGTATTTGAAACAAAGAATTAGCTCATGGGGATAGTAGGTCCTAAGACTGAAATTTACAATGAGTAATATGGAAGCAGCACAATCTATGCATGTCTGTTATGGGTCTAGGTGGAGCACATTTTTCCTTTGGAGGCCAACAGAATAACCAACAGAATCGAAACTGGGAGCAGAGGGTGATTATTGTTTCTTAGATATCTTCAACTTTAAAAGTCGTATTTAGGATCCAGAATTAGTTATAGCTATACCACATCAAAATCACTAATGCACATTGATTATTTAGGATGTGTTTAGTGCATTACACATTTTGGTTTATTTTGTTTCCCCAACATTTATGTAAGGAAGATTGTTGAAATACACTGTTGTTACAGATGAGGAAAGGAAGGTTAAAGCCATGCAATTTGTGAATAGTAGTCCAAGATTCCAAATTATGTCATCTGCACTTTGCTATACTGATCCCCAAATCAAAAAGCATGGCATATTACTCATTTATATTTGTTTCCCTGAATTTGTATTTGATTCTTCTTAAAATGATTTGAATGTGGGGTTTTTCCTTAATATTTAAACATACATATGCAAGTCAAAAATGAGGATACAGATATAAATGAGGTATCTGGAAAGTAATATTGTAATTCAGTTTTCGAGTATAGATACCATCAGAGTTGTCAGATATTTAAAATGATTTGATTATTCCACATTCTGTAATGATAATATGCAAAGCTCTAAGTTAACTTTTCACTGGGTAGGAGTCACTTTCACAAGACCTGGGATTCTTTTCTCTTGTAGGTCTTCTCACTCAGTCTTCACCCACCCTCTCTGCTATATGGCTCTGGGCCTTAGCACTAAGCTTGCTCAGAAAATTGTAACAAGTTGGTGATAGAAATGGGAATCCTTGCTACATTTTTTAATGTGACATAAGACCATTTAAAACTATAGTCTTGACAGGAATTAAATTTGGATGCTTGAGCTAATAGCATGCACAATCAAACTGGAAAAATAGTAGGCGCTGATAAAAATCATGACAATATGATTGAGTTCCTTCTTCCATTTTTCATGCAACTAGACTTTATTGTTACAAAGATCTTGATTTTAGAGATAAATACTGATGCTACAAACTACATGGATTTGTGAAATAAGCTCATCGGGTACCTAGGAAGCAGTCAGGGCACAAGAGGATAGATTTTGTACCCTTTGTTTTAAGAGATAGCTTTGCCAACATGGAAAGTTCTATTGAAAATATAACCAGTTAGCATAGTATTAGTCATAATGGTAAAAAAATCAAGATGTTTAAAAAAAGAAGAGCTTTCAAAATAGGAAGTAACTAAGTTATTTCATGGTGGAAGTCTAAAATTATTTTTTCTTCTCTTTTGACTAACCTGGACAGTTTATTCAAATGAAGCAGGAAGTTTCATGTAAATGTCTTCTGCTAGGGAACAAAATGATCAGCTACACTAGAAAATGGAACATCAATTTTAGACAGAGTAAACTCTTTAGAGAAAACTAGACTGAATAAGGACATGCTTTCTTCAAATATATATCACTGCCTATATTTCTGTTTATTATTTTCTCATTTATGAGGAGATTCTTCACGTAAAATAAATTTTGTTTCCTATATAAGTCATAAAATGTAAAATCAAGGTGATTGCCTTCAATAATATGTGTTTTAGGATTTCAAAAGATAGAGAATTGTTTAAAACTGATGAACTATTCGGAAGTATGTATGTAGAACAGAAATCCATGCCAAAACCCCACTCCATTTTCTAGGTAGTCAGCAACTTGATGTTTTGTACCTTGCAGTTGACACTGGAGGTAGAAGGTATATACATATATATATGATGAAACAGGAGCACACAGGGCCCAGATTTTGAGGATGGAGAAATGCCATATAAAAAACAGGTGGAACTAGGGAAGATCTGTGTACTGAGAGACAGTGCTCCCGGTTCCTTCGCATGGCTCACTTCCAGCACAGTGATAGTCTCACTTACATATAATACCTTTCCTTGTATCCAAGCAGAAATTTGGAGTATTTTTGTCTAAATAAATATGTGGGCTCAAAGGAAAAAATAGCAACAAGTAGAATCTTCACATTTGGATGCTATCTAGCCCAGCTCTCGGATGCTTGCCAAATGATCAGGCTCCTAGCCAGAAGCTTACCTTTGTACCTCCACGTGTGTCTTCTAATAATTATTCAGAAGCCTTCTTCTTAAATATGAACCAGTAACAAAGATAACTGGACATTTGAGGAAAGCCTTGAAATACATAAATAAAGTAAAGAAAAGGAAACATGAAAATAGCTATTAAAGTGAGAAGATTTTTAAAAAAAAATCCTTTTATGTACAAAGTTAAGATACCACACTGTGGTAAGTGAGCTGGATGTTTTATAAAAGGAATACTCAGAATGAGCGATTATATATTATACAAGAGTTAAAAGCTAATGTGCTTTTTTAAAATCAGAGATACAGGTAATATTGAAAGAAAAGGTATGAAAAGTAGACTGTTGATCTAGGAATCACACATTCTACTAGTAGAAACTCCAGAGAGAGAAAAGTGAGGACAACAATTATCAAATAAATAGTACATTTTTTTTCTCAGAACTTGTCTTTCTGAAATGGAAATACTCCTGAAAACTTAGGACAGTATACGAAAATGCATTATGGAATTTTGAAATATAGAGAATACAGAAAAAAATCTGAAGGATTCCAAGGAGGTAAAAATCAGCTCACATCCAAAAGTCAGAAATGTGAGTGTCACTGAATGGAAATTAGAAGAGAATGGAGCAATGAGTTAATCTTTGAGAGACAAATGATTTCTTACTTAACATTCTGTATCCAGCTATACTATCAGTTGGGTGCTAAATGAAATATTTTCATAAATGTGAGCCTTTAGAATATTGTATCTCATGAATAGATTTACAGAAAACCAAAACATTAGCTAGAAACTACGAGGAGGATGCTAAGTCCCAGAAAGGAGAAAACAAGGAAATCTCCAGTAGTTCAGCCAGATTAGACGGCAAATAGAATCGATTAGACTAAAAGAGTGGAAGGCTTATAAAACATAGCTGCAATGTAAAATATTAACAAGTAAACTATGGGAGGTCGAGAGTTGGTGGGGAATTTATTTGGAAAGAATGTGTGCCTTTGTATGCTTGAGCAAGCAAAAATTTAAGCTATTATTTTTTGGAGATCAGATATTTTCTTAATATGCTATAATTGCCCAGATGGTGATTTGGATTTGTGAAACTTATGAAAGACAAGAATGAAGAGTTACACTATGAAGGCGTGAGCAGGAGTGTCAGCATAAAAATGATCTTATTTCCTCATGACTGGAATTGATAACTTACAGTGGGAAAACATTTTATAGTGTGCAAGTATTAATAAAAAGTAAAATATTTGGAATGAGGCTTGTAGAATGCTGGTATAGTGCAGTGTTTGTCTTTTTATAAGTATTACAGTATGCCTTTCCTTTTAAAACTCTTTCTTGTATTACTTTGATAAATACACATATACTTTTACTATGACAATAGAGTTGCTGTAAAGAGAATAATAGAGTGGAACTTACAAAATGTTGACTTTCTTTAGAGGGAAAGGTTGAGAGGACTCTCTAAACCTGAATGATGAGAAGGAATTGCATCAATAGAGGATGTGTTTGCAGACAAAACTGCAGTCTGTGATGATCAAAAGGAGCTTGTGGGCCTGGGGATATAGTTCAGTGGCAGTTTTTTTGCCTCACATGCTTGAGGCCCTGGATTCAGTCCCCAACACTGAAAAGAAAATGAGCTTAATGCATTGCTGAACTTGAAAGCTAAAGACTAGAGTTGAAGGGTGTTGTAAAAGATAAAGTTGTAGAGCTAAGCATGAATCAGATAATACTAGACTCTAAATGTTCGTGGTTTTTATTATTGCTCTTTTAGTCCAGAGTACCATCAGCATAAAATGCCCTGAGCTCCTCTTAATACTCAGTGGAACCTACCACGCTGTCTCTCATTAAACTTCCAATTAATGCCTACATGTGCTTTTAAAATAGTGTAGATTAACAATAGGTACTTACACTGAGTTATATATTTGTATATGTGAGTGAGAGAAATTTTAGGAATATAAGTCATGAGTGGCTTCAAAAGATAGCCAAGCCAAACAATTTTTCCCTTAACTTCTACTGCCCAAATACTATGATATATTTTACCAGTAAATGTTATGCCTATATTTGATGTGAATGGTCATTCAAAATGATTTCACATTGCATTTGGGCCCTTAATTATGACATTCTGTAGCATTTGTGTATGCTTTAAGGCCCTCATAATCTAGAAAGAACTAAATTCTGGTTTTGGAAATAAAAAACCTGCTTTTAAAAATATGATATTCACTACTAGCAATTTCTTAAGAAAATTGATTAGAAAAATTGTGAACTGTAAGAATTAATGTTATACCCAAGGAATCATTATTTTACAATAGTTTCAACTGTTACTAGATTTTTAAAAAAGATACTCAGAGGAGATTTCATAATATATATAAAAAGGTGTGTGTGTGTGTGTGTGTGTGTGTGTGTGTGTGTGTGTGTGTGTGTGTGTATGTGTGCGCACGTGTATGTGTGTCTTAGGCAGCATCATCTTTCCTATAAGTCTTTTCCCTAATTTGCTTCTAAACTTTCAACAACAGTCTGTCTGATTCAGTAACTCCTGTTTCTTCACTTTGTCCCATTTATTTGTTTGGTAAATAATTACCAACCACTTACTCTACATTAGGTATTGTTCACTTTGCTGTTGGCTTTGTAAAACATTTGTGTTTAGACATATTAAAAGACTTTTTATGAGAATTCTTAAAGACATGCCCAGATCTGCCACTAAATTAAAATCTTGACAGATATGCATTAGCCTCTCTTGTCTTTCAAGTATATTATTGAAATTCTTGATGTTATTGTTTCTTACAGGTATGCTGGAGCAATGGAAAGATTACAGGCAGAGACTGAACTTATCAATAGGGTAAATAGTACTTACCTTGTGAGGCACAGGACCAAAGAGTCAGGAGAATATGCAATTAGCATTAAGTAAGTAGGACAAGTACTTTTACAGAAATAGATTTCCTGTTTTCATAATTGCATGACCATCTGATGTTCATAACACTGAAGTTGAAAACCAAGGTTCTAATTGCAGCAGAAATAATGCATCTATCCAGACAGCTCATTAATACTTTAAAAATCTGTTAGAAAACAGTAGTATGTGTTATAGGCTGCTAATTAGCATATTAGATTTCTTTCATAACTTTGTGTTTTGTTGACTTGATGTGTGCACATTTCTAGTAAATTCTAAGAGTATAAGTTACTAGACTGTCTTTTTCTTTTTGCTTCTCAACCTGGACTAAGTAAATTAAGCAGAATGACTAGTCATATTCAAACTCCATCTCAATTCAAACATTAGTTGTATCTTCAACTAATCTAGAAAATGTTTTGTTTAATTAGCTGATGCCATTGTATTGGCATAGACATATATTTTGTCTTCACGATTAATTCCTATGTTATTGGGGCATGGCCTCTGGTAATTATTGATTTCTACTGATTAAAAACACATTTGTATTCAAAATTTATTCATTGCCTACAGGTACAATAACGAAGCAAAACATATCAAGATTTTAACGAGAGATGGCTTTTTTCACATTGCAGAAAATAGAAAATTTAAAAGTTTAATGGTAAGTATTGATTATTTCTGTTCAATCTATGGGACCTATTTGAGGGGGAGTTAGGAAGGCCAGTTAAATTTTATAGTTTCTTGGATATTTTACTCACTGAAAATTTATTTAAAATTAATCACATTTTAATTTTGTAATAAAATCCTAAAAATTCTAACTTTAGAAACTCCAGGTAAGCTTTATATTGTTTGAATCATTTTTAGTTGTATACTAGGTTTGCAAGTTTTATTTCATATTTGGATTGTACCCTATTGATGACCCTTGGTGCAATGACAGATTCATATATGAACTTTCAGTTATTTGTGTGAGTTTTAGCTTGTGTTCCAATAATACATTGCAAATTTTTAATGTCCCTTTGGTCTTCCTTCATTTGCTTTTACCTCCTAATTTGGCCAGAGGAAGTTATTATAAATCATGACACAAAGAGTTATCATTAATAAAATACCTCTCATGTTTAGGTTCATTTCATAAAAATACAATAATAAGTCAAAGTAAGAAGTTTTCTTTCATATTCTAAATTGTTCACTTTTATCCTAAGCATAATAGGGTTACTTTTTTCCCACACAACAGTTGATATTTAATAGAAGTTTTATATTTAAGTGGAAAAGTATAGTTTTATAGATTGCTTCAAATGAGTAACAGTTGCTTAAATTTGGTTTTTAATGAGATGGCTGGGTAGAGAAAGGAAAGAGAAGAAATGAATAAAGGAATTCAGGTATGTTATATACATGTGCCAAGTCCACATAAGGAATGTAAACATTAGGTACTGCGCACATGTATTAATAAAATAAAACAATGTTTAAAAGAAAGTGAATAAACTGTGGACATCAGTTGATAATAAAAACTTACAGTTTAATAGTTTTATTGATATAAAAATGTTGTGTATATGTCATAAATAATGCACATATGTCATATATGCTAACAGTAAAAATTCTTATTTTCTTAAAGGTGGTTTTGTGTATGTTTCACAAGTTTGGTAGTTTTTCTGAGATAGTGAACAATATAAGACATAAAATGCATTAGCAGCTTCTAAGAACTTTGAGTAATATTGAGAAGGACCATTCATTGATTGAAACATCAATCAAGGGCTGGGGATTTAGCTCGGCAGTGCTGTGCCTGTCTGACAAGCTCAATGTCCTGAGTTCAATTCCAGATACCAACAAAAAAGCAAAAATCAATCAAAAGATACATACATACTACCTCTTTCCAGAAAACATCAGACAGCACTTTGTGGATGTTAACATTAAAGTTAAAAATTGAGTGTAAGAAACGCTTACAAAATAGACCAGCTTGAATGCATTATCTAAAAACTGAGCACTGTTTCAAGACAAGGATCTGTGTTATTTCAAAAAGAAATATTTTGAGTTGAAAGAAAAAGAAGTAAACCTCTGTAGACATAAATATCACATTTCTATTCAAAAGCTAAGAAAAGGCAGTATGGCCATGTTCTGGCAACTGTAAACTCTGTCAAATTGGAAACCAAGATCCAGGCATCCTCCCTGCTGGAAGTAACTTATGTTCCATTAGAACAAGCAGACTGTGCAGAGAGAACTGAGCCAGGGGAGGTTCTTCATAAAATGAAAACCTAAGAGAGAGGTGGCAGCAGATGCACAAATAATGAACAACAGGCACAGCTGAGACATGAGAACAGCACGCTCAGGGAGTCTGCATATCTCGGCAAGACATGCCAGTTTGAGCTTTCACCTACAGAACTTCCTTGGTCGGTAATGAGGCTGCTCCACAGTGTTACAGTTAACATGGCACTTGAAAAAGTGCCACAGGGCCAAAGATGACTTCCAGCCTTTTGGACTTTGAAAGTAGCAAAAGGAACTCCCATTAGAGGAGACCAGTGAAGAGGATGAAAGAATAGCCACTGGAAAGGGCCAATCAGTTCAGCTTTGTGTCTCCTTGATTCCACTCAAGGAAGTTCTTTCACAGCAAGGGTTAGATATGAAAAGCCAAAAATACACCATAGTGACCTGAACTGGAAGACAAAGATTCTTGAGTTTCCAGCTGTATATTTATTTAGCTGCATTATAGTAAATCAATCAAACCCTGATTCAGATCATTTGTACAAGATCACATTAAGGTTTTTGCACTGATGGTCTAGAGAGGAAATTAAAAGAGTATTGTCTCAGGCCTCAAATAAGCTCTCCTTATAAAATATAAGTAAAATATCAGAAATGTTGCAGATGCATGTACATTTTCCCCCTTCATGTCTAGGGATCTTTTGTAGGAAAGCTGGTACTTTAGTGGGCTCAATGGAGGGGTACTAACAGCAAAGCTCTAGTGAAACTAGAAAGCACTAGCAAATATATGTAATCATGAAAGTTAAAGAATGACGAGGAGCTGGAAAACCTCAGCTTCAGCAAAGTCCTTTGTCAGATTTGGTAAATAGCTATTAAAATGGATGAAGATGCAGCTATTTATCATTTTTGTTTCTTTTCAATTGTTGAACACATTTTTATTGGGTCTTTTCTACCAAAAATCACTGGTGTTTTTTTTTTTTAAGAGAATCCAGAAATGACTCAACTTATCTAAGAATGCCTAGAAACTAGTGAATACATACATGCCAAGAACCTCAAAATAGTTTTTCAAACTAGGGCAAGAAAATACCACATGGATACTCTGTCAGAAGGGTGGTTTATATTTTACTAAGTGACCCCTTTGGAAGGAAAGAATGTTATGAGGTACCTCCTTAAAATCAGAATCATACAACCTCTAGGATATGACTTTTTATTATTGGCACCAAATAACAGAGTTTCTGTTACAAGTCAGTATGTTTGTAGCTTTGAGTTGTTTCTTAAGAATCATTTCATATCCCACTATCACTGACATTAAAGTTAGATTTTTCTACCTATGAATCAGAATAGGTCATGGGACTAAATTTTTATCTGGAAAGGATATAAAACACAAGCAGAATCTGGAATTTATTTTATATTCTACAACTTCTCAAAGAGAAGATTGGCCTTAGGTGTTTGGACCCAAACATTTTTCCCTTGGGTTTCAATGGCTGAATTAATCAAAATTTTTGTTTTTCTTAGTCATTAAATTCAAATCCTAAATGAATTTCTGTATCCAGATTACAAGGCATTAATTTTGTTCTAATTTTCATGTATGCCAGACAATACATGTCCAAATGCTGTTTATAAACCATCTCCATAGCCTGTTTCCTAGGCAATTGGAATGACTAGCTCTCACTCATTATTTTTCAGAGAGACTTGAATTGTTGACACTGCTGTGTCAGTGAGAGATAAGGAAAGCTTAGTGATTTCTTTTGTTTAGTCTTCTTATTTACTTGTTGTACCTGAAGGTCAATGACTGCTAAAGCAGGGGTGGATTATACTAAAATACAGAAGGCAGAAAGGCATAAATTGGAAAAGATCCATGTTGGTACTATTTAATTCTGTGCAGACACATGTAGCAAGATATACCCTCATAAGACTGTAAAAATGGAACTAAATTATCTTCCATGCTTAGTGGAGTGTTAAAGAGTGTTTTGCAATTTACTAAGGACCACAGGTCTTGAATAGTTCTTTTTTCCTTTAGTAAAATTTTGGAGGAGTATTAAACGATGACCAAATCCTGCAGTATAATAATGTTATTGTAGTTTCTAGCCAACTTCACATAAATGTTAATTATAATTCATAACAAAATGTGTATGACTTCATATAAAATTAAATTGAAATTAAAGCTATTGGCACATAATTTATTCCAGGCTTATTTTCATATTGCCAAAAAAAAAATTTTACAGAACTTAAGTATCAAAACTAAAGAAAAACTCTGATTTCATTTGCATCAACAACATAATGTGCACATGTACCTTCTTCCTGAGACCTTATAAAATTTTGTCTTTTTAAAAAATATAACAATAATGGGGCTGGGGATATAGCTCAGCAGCACAAGCACCTGCCTGGCAAGCACAAGGTCTTGATTTCAATTCCTGGCACCAAAAAAAAAAATATATAGATAGATAGATAGATAGATAGATATAATAATAATGATCACTAAGTAGCATTTAATTCCTGACCTAACTTTTGTAAACCACATCTGTTAAAAATCAGCATAATACAAGTGCTGTAGTATGATCATTGATGCTGTTTTGAAAATACATTCCCTCTAGGCTAGTGTTTTGTTTCTTTTTGTCTTTGTTTTTAAAATTGGTCAGATTCTACATTCCTTTGTTTCAAAAATCATACCCATTATCTAGTCCTAACAAGAAAAGGAAGGAAGGAATATTTTTTTGAAAGTTGAAGATATAATCTATGTAAAATCCTAGCATCTTAAATCTAAGGAAACAAGGTTTCAGGCATGTGACAGACAACTAGCAAACACTATTCCCTTTGGCTTCTCTGGACATGTGTGTGCTTACATTCTCCAGGTACTATTTGTTAATAATACCATATAGTTAAAGGCATGGACTTGAGAGACAAATATCAGCTATATGACCTCACACTCATTGATTAGCCTGGGATCTGGGTATCCATGGGGATGAAGCTGATCTCGTAAGTTTCCTGAGTGAGGATGAGAACCCATAATCAAGGCCCAGCACTGGGAATAATTGTAGCGGTTGTGATTATTCATATCAGGCACCCTATTTGCTGTTGTGTGGAATGACTTGTTATCCCCACTGTACGGGTATAGGAATTGAAAAATTCCCTAGTTGCTTTATTTGTGCTTCACACAAACCATACTGCTTAATTTATACAAGTGTACTTTATTTTTTTACCTTTTTGACTATTCCCAACCTGGTTATTCCACCTGAAACAAACTTTGCACCTCTCCATGGCTGTTGAAATTTTGTGTTCTTCAATTTAGGTCAAGCTGCTTTGGACCTGAAACCTTCTTTTGTTCTCCTTTGTGCACCAAACCACAATTTCTTGTGTGCCTTTGAGGACCTATAGCCCTTCCCTTCCCGTCTAGGATGACAACTTGACAACTCCTATTGATCAGGAACCTTCATAATCTTCATAATCTTTGTGACTCCTGACAATCCCAGCACAGTGCAGTCTACAACATATCTGGATTTTTTCATTAATAATAAATCCTTGATCATTCTTTTTTTTTATTCTGTTGGGTGATATTTTACTCAGTTGATTTGTTCTGAGAACTTTGAATACAACCACTGAATGGAGGTATTGAGTTGACTGACATTGTGGTTTTTAGAAGAAATAAGTTGCTTTTCTATAATATTTTAAAAAATATATTTTAAGAGAAGTACTGAATAATTAGGTTAAGTGATTTTGCTTTCATTTACATTTTAGGTATTTATGCATAATTTTACACATGATAGAATGCATTTTTCCATTATGAATTATATTTTAATTTCAGTTTATAGTAGAGAGATTCGTATTTGTGCAGAATTTATGAAGAAAACATGAAATTTCCTGAAGTTTAGTATAAAAGAGGATGAGTGGTTATGGCATTAGGCTGGGATATATTTAAGGCAAACTAAAATTAGAATCACATTATTTATGCCTGTGAGTATTAGGTAATAGAGCTACAGTGGGCACTAACACTTCATCATTAATCAGAGACAATGTCGATTGACATTCATGCTTTGCTAACTTTTGTTTACCATAGAAAAGTACATTTAGTATCACATTTGTTTAGTGGCCATGTTGAAAAAAATGCAGGAAACTAGAAATTGCTGTATATTAAGCAAGCAGCTGTTCCTTTTATTTTTTGTTCAGAAAGGCAAGTATTTCATAAATAAGAATAATAATTACTACTCTGATGTAGAAGTTTAGTTTAGTTTCTTGCTTTATGCTTTTTTTTTTCATTTATCACATCTGACAGAATGTTCTTTATCTGAGAAGAAGAGGGGAAAACTCACATTATAAATGTCCTGAGTATCAGGAACAACTTCTAGGCAGTTACCAGGTACATTCAGACATCAGGGACAAATGATCATTCACTAACTCTTCTGTGAAAAATTTAGCATTAATTCCATTATCTTTATCTATCATTTTGTGATAACAAAAGTATATTTACCAAAAATAAACTTTTATTCTTTTTCCTGAAGGAACTTGTGGAATACTACAAGCATCATTCTCTTAAAGAAGGGTTCAGAACCTTAGATACAACTCTGCAGTTTCCATACAAGGAGCCAGAACATTCAGCTGGACAGAGGGGTAATAGGGCAGGCAACAGCTGTGAGTATTATAATTGAGAATACGATTTGCTGTCACTTGAGGGTTGGAGGCAAAATAGCATTAAACATCTTTATTCCAGACTTCGAAATATAACCAATTAATATGCTAATGCATTGAACAAGGACTTTAAACTGAATCAGAGGGACCAACAGGTTTATAAACATGTCTAGTTAGTTGTAGGTCTTTGTGCCAAAGTAAAAATTGTGTATGAATTAAAATATCTATTATAATTATAGAGACTATGTTCACATATAAAGTTTATGTTTTTGCCTGGCTTTTACTTTACCAGACTTTTAAATTTCTGTTTAATGTTTGTGGCCATAAAATACTGTTTGAATGATAGTATTTAAACAAAACTGATTCACAACTCTCCTTTTTAGAGTATTACCCCAACTTCACTTATGATCTTATTTCAATGAATACTTTCAAAACTTTGAAATGACTACCATGTTTTCTTGGATGACAATATTTCTAACACCATACCATAGCCACTTTCTTTCAAAATAAACATGGGCCAGAACTAATTACAAAATAACTAGCACACAAGGAAATTCACATCATAGTTTGAGTGTGAATCCAAATCCAAATTTTTATTTTTCCTCACTTTTTAATGTTATACACCCTTTCTTTAGATGGTTAAAGTATGTAAAGAAAATATTGTGATGAAAACATGTTGTAAAGGAAGCGTAGTAGTTTCATTCCCTTGTTTTGATGTCTTCTTTAAAAAAATCTTCATTTCAGAAGAGAAATGAAAACAATTTTTATTACTCTTAGAATCTGTAACCTAAGCAAAATTGGGAGATATAGAGGTATTAAAAAAAGGATTTGCATCAGTTTAATATAACTTCGGCTTTATTTTTCCCACAAAAAACAGACACCAAAAGAGAAACAGGTAATGCTCAGGGTTCCAACAACATCAGTAAAATTTCATATGTTCAAATGCAAGAAAACATGACAATTATTTATCACATCAAATGACAGGTGGTTTTTTAAAATTTGAATAGCTTACTAGCTGCTTCTGCAGTGATCAGTATGTATGCCCAAGCCTATGCAGTGCAAATAGTAAGAACATACTTTATGTTGAAACTTTAAACACTTAAAATTTTATGTTTTTAGTCTAAAATTACCTAATTATCTTGGAGTCTCAAGTAGACTATAATTCTTACTCATTCAAAAATGAAAGTTTTTCTTATAAAACTTCCTACAAATGTCTTAAAAATCTGCCTGGATTATGACTTCTCCCTGCTGCATGAAATCAATAATTTTCAACTCTATTTTCTCTGCTTTTCCAGCAGCAGGACAAGTTTTCCAGAAGGTCAGTTATACCAAACCCTGTTTGAGGTGTTTGGTTTGTTCCTAAGCATGTAGGGGAAAGAAAAAGGATGGATATCCAGCATTACATAGGAAGGTTTTTTTTTTTTTTTTTAACTGTCACATGTATTTCACTGCTTCACTTTTTAAGATGGAAATAGTATGAAGAAGGTCCTGAGACTTAAATGAAGTACTACAGATAAAGCACTTAGTGTAGTGCTTGTACATAGTAAATACACATAAAAGTTGCCACTGACTCTATTGCCCTTATTTCTGCTATAATGCTTCTGACTCTTCCAGCATAGCACATACATCCCTGTATTTCTAAGGCTTGATTAAATTTATGGGTTGTAATTCATAATGACTTACATGTTTGCTTTTATGTTTTTAAAGTATGCCTTTCTTATTTTAAACCAACCCTTGAGTCAGGGTGAACCATTACAGAAAACACTGTTTCTATTTTTATGCATGTAGAGTCTTCTAAGAGATAGAAGGAGGAAATGCTCCACGTTCTGTATGGAAAGGTTATATCTGATGTCTTCGTAGGCTTTCCCTCTGTTTCATAGCTTTGGGTATGCTGCTAAATATCATCTAACAGAGCTTAGACAATTTGGTAACAATACTTTTACCAAACAGTGTGACTTTGGGATACTGGATTGGACTGAGAGCGCTGAGGTCTCTATTACTTTATATAAGTAATATTGTCTAGAAGCCTAAAGAGCAGACAAGGGAAAGCCCAGAACTGTCATGTAGTCTGGATACAGGTTGAGAATGGAACTCCAACTCTTGAAACAGACTATTTATCATCTTTATTTTTCAGTCATATAATCACCTTGGAAAAGAAAGTCTTGGAGTACTGTAGAGATTGCTTCAGAAATAATCTAGATTAGTATGTTCTTGGGACCTTTACCAACTATTTTGTGGTTTTTAAATAAGTAAGTATGACAAATCTGTGTCATACATGTGAAAAATAACATGCAAAGAGAAACTCATTAGAACAAACAGGAGTCCACATTAGTGGATAAAACATTTCTAAGTGCTCGCTGTAGGCTGCTTCTGAGACAGGATTGTTTTCTTTGCCTTTGGAATGATTTGAATATTTCCAAAGGAGATTGGGGGGGGGGTGAGAACAAAGAATGTAAGTCAAGGTTACCAGTGAGCTCTTGTAGTTCCCTAGAAACTGCAGGGGCTCTATGGAATAGGTCATGTGGATTTGTGTAAGAGTACCATTATTCTGCAAACTGGTCCTAGCAAATCTGCCTTAGATTCTTTAAATATACCTGGAAGGCTGGTATAGTTAAAGGGCACTAAGTTGACTTCTCCCTTTTTTGTTCTGCAATGACTTTATTTTCAGGTCTGCCTCTAAGAAGCTGTCTGATCTTGGGCAAGACACTTAACCAGTTTGAACCTCAGCCTTCCCACTTGATAAATGAGGAATGTGATTAGAGAATTTATAATGTTCTTTGAAAAGTAGCATTCATTGTTTGTTTCTTTGTATAGAAGAAGGAAGGACATAAAATGCATTATTACTAGACCATTACAGTAGGAAAAGCTGCACAATTAGCTATTTTGTAATCCATACACAACCTTAAGCATTTCCCCAAATTTATACTTTTGGAGAATTAATTCACCTACAGAGCAGAGAGACATATTTGTGTAAAATATCTACTACAATGATATTTATATAATATCAAAGAATCTTCCATAAGAACTTATTGATCATAAAAGCAATACTTTAAGCAAGTGATCAAATTTGACATTACTAGTGTTGAGACAAGTAGACACCAGGTGCTTCCTAATAGAACGCCCTGAGGAGAACCCCACATCCCTGTGGTGATAGTCCTGTCCTCAAAAGTTTGAATCTGATCATGAAGAAATATCAGATGATTGGCAATTGAAAGACATCCTACAGATAATCAGCCTGTATTCTCTATAAAAGTCAAGGTAATTAAAGATAAGTAACTAGGACTACCTGAGATTTTAAAAGACTAAAAGATGTTACAGCTCCATACAGTGTGATGCATGACTATATTATGAATGGAGAGCACAGAGGAGGAGATAGAAGAGAAAGCATAGATAGTATAAATGGTATAAACATATTTATGTTAGTAGGAAGGAATGAGTAGGGGCGATTAGAAAGCTTTAAATAAGTTCCCTAGATTAAGTGACAGTTGTATCAGTGTGATTTTTTGCTTTTGATAATTTTACAGTGGTTATATACAAGGAGAGAATGTCTTTGTTTTTACTTTCTTGAAGTATATATCATTAAAGAAGATTGTACCTGCAGTTTATTCTTAAATGGCTCAGGAAATAAAACATTGATTGATAAAGAAAACATAGTAAAATGTTAACATTTGGGGAATCTGAAGAGTGTGGAAATTCGTTGTGCCATTCTTGTGCCTTATCTTTAAGTGTGAATTTTTCAGAATAAAAGTTTTAAATGTGGAGGTACCCCCATCTGCTCGCCGTGTCTAAAGAACTGGAGGAAAGCGGCAACATCCTCCTTTTCACCTGCTCCAAGAGCAGGGATTGGCGGTCACTGACTTGGGGTCAGTGGGGTACACAACATGTGCTGAGATCATATTCCAAGCCTTTTGCTCCTTAGCATGACTTCCTTGCATTTGTTTATTCACTCATTACTTTATTCAACACTTTCTGTGTGCCAGGTCCTGTGCTAGATCCTGCAGTTTAAATAGTGAGTATGATAGACCGTATGGTGAATAGGAATAAACGTTAAACAAACAGACTCATAGATTTATGCACATATGTTGAAACAGAGGTCAGAGCAGAAGTACAAAGGTGTGACAGGAGAGCTCATTTACCTTCCAGGGTCATAGAAAGTCTTTTTGAAGGAGTGTGACTCCGATTAAACTTACAAGATGTGTGAGGATGGCAGGGTTGATTGGCACTAGGGAAACTACACAGTGAAGCAGCTTGTGTGAAGGCTCTAAAGTAGGAAAGAACTTCTAGGATTTGAAAGAGGCTTAGTGTGTCCGCAGCATAGCAAATAGATTGTGATGTTTCTGTTTGTGGTGGGAATGTACAGAAGCTTTAGAAATAGAAAATGACATGAACTTACTCTCTTAGGAATTATATCTAGATGTCTCTGCAAAGCCTTATGTACTTATAGATGGGGTTTGGGGGAGATATTTGGATCATGGGGGAGCTATACTCATCAGTGGAATAATCTGATGAGTTGTAGTTAAATGTCCTGTTGAAAGGTACGGCCTGGTTAGAAGTGGGTCGTTGGGAGCCTGACTTGGAAGGGGGATAGTCTGTCTTCCTTCTTTAAGCCTCTGCTGGACAGCCAGGAAGTAAGCAGCTGGCCTCCTTTGCCAGGCCTCTGCAGCCAGCTGACAATGAACTGTAACTACAAGCCAAAGTAAATCTCTTCTCCTTTAATTTGTGAGTGTTGGGTATTTTGTTTCAGCAACAATAAAGTGACTAAGACACACTTTTAAAGAGTCTCTGACTACTTTTTGAGGAGAGGCTAAGAGGGTGAAAGAGGCAGAGAAAAGAGTGAGTAGGCGCTCACAAATGTCTAGAGAGGGTAATTTGGACAAGAGTCCAGTATCACAGTGGAAAAATACAATGGGAAGATTTGAATATATCCTAGAGGTTGAATTAGTTGGACTAAAGAGTTGAGGTAGAACTGGTCCAAACACGATACAGAAGCATTTGCCTTGAAC